CTAAACCCTAATCCCTGTGAACCCCAAACCCAAGTAGAGGCCTAGAGGGGAGTGTGTGGCGGTGTGCGCCTCTACTCAAGCCTGGGATCCCACTGTTACGTGGCAGAAGCTTTGTCGTGGTAGGGTTTTAGGGTTTAGGGCTTTTGGGGTTTAGGGTTTAGGGGGTTTTTGGGGTTTCATGGGAGTGTATGACACTTATTGGGACTGAAGGATTGCCTTCGACTATTTGCGCAGGGATGTGGGACATTCGAGAGCGCAAAGCGCACATCCACAAAGTGGTTTTGGAAAGACAGCTACTCCGATGCCAGCCATCTGCGTCGCTCAACACGCGACAATTAAAAAGGGATGCAACTGGCATGTCCCAGCGGTTCCTTCTCATGGCAGCCCAATGGACAAAATGGTCTCTTTTCCATCGAAGTTCCACGTTCCGTTATTTCTAAGGTTTTTCATGGGCCATCAAGCTGAATGAATGCATCATGCCTGTACTGGAGATGGGACCTTATAAACCCTAAACTCTATGGGGATCGTGGCTTTGCAGGGAAGAGCCCCCCCCCCCCACCCCCCCGCGCCTTCCCCCCTTAAGGCCGCATTTGATGCGGAATACATGTTAACGCTCTGTGGGCCCAAGTCCCTACATCATTACCCTTTCTTAGGTCCCGCGCCCCCCGCCCCGACCCCCCCCCCCCCCCCACCCCCTACCTCTTCTAGAAATCCCGAAATATTCACACGATCGGATTTTGTAGGTGAAGTCTTCGAACATGCCTCCCAGGCCTATACACGTTTGAACAGTATGTGTCGAGAGGTGAGCTGATTGTTGTTCTAGACTAGTTGGCCGCATCAGGGTTCTGTTTTGCAAGGAATCCGATTCTTACTATTACCTATATGGGGGCTTACGATAATGAGAGACCCCAAATTGTAGGATTCTCTTATCGTAAGGACCCCAATAAGGTAATGTTGCACTGACTTTAGTGTAAGGAGGGTCTATAATCACAAGCTTCCAACATTTTATTCTGCGAACCGAGTTTGTTTAGGGTACCCGCTCTTATGACCTGTGTTTTTTTTCACCCCGGACGTTTTGTTTTTGTTTTAAAGGGTTTGTGTTTTGGGTTAAGGGCTTACACAGCAAGGCTTGAGGCCCTGAGGGCCTGGGGCTCCAGGAATCTTAAAGAGCCAGAGCGCGGAGAATCCAGAAATCTAAGCCCGGCCAGTTCCATGTAAAGCCTTTTGGCATTTCACTACGAAACGAGGCCCCAAACAAATTTTGTGATAGGTAGCCCACGGGCCGGGCAGACTGTCTTTAGTAAGTTTATCTGGCTACCCTCTATAATACCAAGTTTTTTTCGGATGATTATTTTTTAAGGGTTTGTGTTTAGGGTTAAGGGCTTACGCGGTAAGGCTTGTGGCCCTGAGAGCTTTGGGCTCCAGGAATCTCAAGGCTGGAAAGCTTCAGGCCTTGAGGGTCCTAAAGGCTTGAGGCCCTGAGGGTGGTTCCCCCCCGCGTGTACCCCGCTTTGCAACCAGAATCCCCACTTTACAACCAGAATCCCTACTTTACAACCCAGAAGCCTTTCCAGAATCCCTACTTTGCAACCGGTTGCGAAAGCTACTGAACAACCCAATTAACTGATAACGTCAAAGCTTAGAATCTCCAGCATCATCCCTTACGGCAGCCATGCAGGTTGGAAAGTGATGCCGGTTGCAATGTGGGCGTTCTTAACCCGAATCCACGACAGATATGTGTGTGTATATACATATGAAAGCCAATACATGAACCCCAAATTTTATTCCATTTGATGTTGTATTTATGGTTTTAGGCCATACAAGTACTTTCAAACAATGACTTTCCGTTCTTGTGTGTTTGTTTTAGGGAAAGCATACAACAAATGCTTTTTAGAAACCCAAACCACCAACCCACACAGGCAAATCTGGGAGTGCAAAACACATTAAAATGCAACCAAATTCCTACTCCGCACTCCACAGCACCTCGCTTGGCGGACGGACGCTTTTTTCTCACCAGCGTGGACGCAAGTTGTTTGAGTCATTTTAATTTGATGATGTTGTATTATGGTTTTGGGCCATACAAGTACTTTCAAAAAATGACTTTCCGTTCTTGTGTGTTTGTATTGGGGAAAGCATACAGACAAAATGACTTTTAGAAACCCAACCCACCAACCCACCACAGGCAAGGCTAGGAGTGCGAAGCGCACTAAAACATAACCAATTCCTAAATCAGCCCAAAAAACAAAATTGTGAAAAAAGAAACGCTTTTTAACATTCGGGGAAAGACGAGACACCAAGATAACAATAAACATAATGGGGTGCGTTCCTTTTTACACACAGACCTACCTAAACCAAGCCACGACAACCTGCGTCGGGTGAAGGCCCCATAAGTTAGACACTTGAGGGAGTCTCGAGGAACCAAACTATATGGAGTCTAGGTAGGTTTGTTGTATTAAAAACTCATGAAATCCCAATAGGTCTTAATCATAGGTAGACGGGTTGCAAAGTGGGGGTTCTCAGGATCGGCAGTTGTAAAGTGGGGATTCTCACACCGGAAACAGTGCCTGTGGTTGTAAAGTGGGGATTCTGGTTGTGAAGCGGGGATTCTGGTTGTAAAGCGGGTTAATCTCGTTCCCCCCCCCCCCCCCCCCAAATTTATTTGGGGGGGTCGCTGCGCCATGCATATTTTTTTGAGGGTCCAAATTTGTTTGGGGAGGGGGGGGGGGGCATACTAAAGACAGAGCAACATTTCCCCTAATTTCGGAAACCCCCCATATCAGGGTTTTTCGGGCTCAGGGTGTCTTACGAAGGGGGCTCTCAGGCTGCACCGCTCGGCCTTGCCTGCGTCCCTCAGCCCGCCGTGGCTCAGTCTGGAGTGTGGACCCTTATCATCGCAACTTCTACTATTTCCTTAAGAACCCCAAAAGAATGAAAATCAAGAATCCCTATTGTCGGGGTTCTTAAGCAATCAGTGGACTTGTGGGGAAGGAAGTGCAACCCAACACCTGAATCCCGAGAACACTGAAGTCCCTTCCAGCATTTCTCCAACCCAAAGCTGCCATGGCCCCCGCAGCCTTTCCGCCCCGCAAGGTGGAGGAAGCTGCTTAGATAGATGAATGGTTTAGGGTTTCATGTCCCGGTGTGCCTGGCCACATATGTGATGTAAGGAGTGAAACCCTTACTTCTGCCTAGCTCGGTTTGTTGCGAATGACCATTCTGACTTCAGGCTCAGTGCAGTCGATGATGATGATGGTTTAGGGTTTAGGGTTTAGGGCTTAGGGCTTAGGGTTTAGGATTTGGGTTAGGGTTTAGGGTTTAGGGTTTAGGGTTTAGGGTTTAGGGTTTAGGGTTTAGGGTTTAGGGTTGAGGGTTGAGGGTTGAGGGTTGAGGGTTGAGGGTTGAGGGTTGAGGGTTTAGGGTTTAGGGTTTAGGGTTTAGGGTTTAGGACATTTTTAAGAAGAGTACCGGTAAGAACCCGCAACCGAGTTTTTTTTGTAAGTGACCTCAAAATCCTCGAAGAGGTTTTATAGTAGCGAGCCACATACAAGTAGCTTATGGGTTCTTATAGGCCCTTGCAGACCCTACAGACCATTAGGCTACAGGAATGGGATTTTTCGATTTTTTTCAGGGTTTAGGGTTTGGGGTTTAGGGTTGAGGTCGGCAGCTCCCATTTTCATACATCTAAACCCCGCTCGCCACCCCCCCCCCCCCCCCTCTCAAGCTTCCTCAGCTCAGTGTGGAAGTGCTCGCCGTCTATACGAAGTCTTTCATTCCCCTGGCCAGACCATACACCCCAAGCCCGAAACATTCCAACTTCTGAATCGGCCATGTAGGGTGCAAGGGGCTTATAATCAGGGTGTATACGAGGTTGATGCAGACGCTGGGGCAGACGCACCAATATTTTCATCTGGTGGGGGCGCTGCTGGGCATGACGACCTCCCAGGTTTAGAGTTTGAAGTTTAGGGGCTAGGGTTTAGGGCCTGGGGTTTCCATTAGTGTTTTTTTTTTTTTTGGGGGGGGGGGGGTAGTACCCAAGAGCCTTGTTGGGTAAACACATTTTCGGCTTATAAGGTTTACATCAGCCCAGTGTCATCATCTGTTCTTGGGGACTAGGGATCCAACTTGAGTCTTTAGTGTTGCGAGCAGTTGGATTTAGGGCTCGGGGTTCTGGCCGATTATACCCTATGACCGCTTACAAAGGCCGTTTATATTGTGGGATTATCGGGCCCAGTAGCTCATCCTGGTAGATAGGCGGCGGGGAGGTCTCTGAACCCTAAACGCTAACCTGTCGTAGAGCATGATTGTCGGTTCAGGGCTGAGTATCCGTCTGAAAGGGGGGAGCAAGAGTCGAGTGAGTTCGTAAGCCCTGATCCCGAAGTCTTAGGAGTTAGGAGTCTCGGCTGCCTAAGGTTGGCCCAGACCCTAAACCCTAAACCCTAAACCCCAATCCCTGAACCCTAAGCCCTATAAGCCCTAAACCCTGAACTATAGTCGTGGTTTCTGAGGCCGGGGAAGTGACGTCGCCACATGAGGAAGAGAGGCCGCAGATAAGATGTTTGCCCTGAGCTGCGGTTTAGGGTTTAGGGTTTAGGGTTTAGGGTTTGGGATCTCACGGGTTGATCACAGTTACTGGACTCGCAGAAAGATGTTGTAGTAGAGGGTGCAGGCTGCGGAGGTGTAGGGAGCGTTTATTTGGGGTGTGTTGCCCTTACGAAGTAGGCGCGGCGGTTTAGCCTAGGACGAAGAGAAGCAACAGCCTATCGGTCCCCGGGCTCCCAACAGGCAACTGGCTACACAGTAGGACCTTTTGTTCTCACGTTGGTCCATTGTGTCCTCAAAAGAGCCTAAATATTACGGGGATGTTGTGTTCAGCTTCGCACTCCCCCTTGGTACTTTGTACCAACTCGTAGCGGCTCCTGACTAGATGGTTTTCACCTAGTTTGACGTGGAGTTCTTTGCAAAAGTGTAGTTAAACGGTTCAGACTCAAGGCTCTCTCCGGTCAAAACTGCGGTATGGAGCTGCGGTAGTTTCCCTGTACAGTGTATGCTTTGGGCTTTGCACACTTTGCGCCGGCATTTCTGCCGTGTTTGGCTCCTGCTTCGCAAAACCGGTTGGTGAGCAACATTGACCTGAGTTATGTTGCTCCGTCTGCGGCCGGTTCAGGCGAGATCTTGCGGTCTCACTTCTAACTCGGTGCGGCCCTTCCAAGGCCCTCGCAGTTTTTGTTGCGCTGGTTTGTGTGTCCAATCATCATCATGGACATCTTGTAACCCATCAGCGATGAATGTTGCGACGGTTCTGCGCCGGCCTGACAATCTGGCATCGTCAAGACCATCAGGGAGTCTGGCTGTGCTGGGATCAAATTTGTTGACGCGAGATTTGACATGATGTCTCAGCAACACGTTTCCCTCACGATCCCACTCCCATTTGTCCTCTCTGCTTTGGGGCGCGTCGCTGTAGCGGGCAAGCGGTGGAGGCCACGCTACCTCCGCAACGACTTCGGGCTGCGGAATACCAACGCTTGACCTTGAACCTGCTGTGGACTGCGGGCTGGCCTTTCGGCCGCCCCTATCCTGAGGTTCAGTGCTTGAGGCGGCTGCCTCTGGGTAGGGTTCAGGAGCATTAGGGCCTACGGCGGGTTCAGGACTACTCTTAGGGGACGTACTAGCAGCGGTTCCTACTAGCCGTATAGTACCCAGCCTATCCCTGTGCGTGTCGGCAGCGCTTGTCGTGGCGCTAGGCACTGCAACAACGGACCAATCGTCGTCTGACTCCTCGACGAATGCACGCTGCAGCGTGGGTGTTTCGGTTTGGCCTACGGACCTGCAGCACCAGATCAACAAGCTCGCACCAACAACTGCAAACACAGTTACAAGCAACTTCAAGGTGTGAATCACCTCTGAGCTTTCTGAGTTGCTCTCATCCTCGGTGATCTCAACACGCACGGCTTTTGCGGACAAAGCTTTCAACTGCGTAGCCACGGTGAGTGCTTTCAAGGCCTTTGCTAGCACCGACGGGGGTTGCGGGACTCCCCCGTAGGTAGCTCCATTAGGCACTGGCTCAACCGACGACAACGACTCCCCCCCACCAACAACGCGATGGCCAGAGATTTCTCCCGGCTTGAGTGCTGTTGGTGGTGTGTGAAGTTGCAAGCCTATTTTCTGCAAGAGCGAAACGATGCGTGCGTGCAGCAGGGGCTTCGTGAGCAGGTCACCAAGCATGTGCTCCCCTGGAATGTGGGATACCCGGTAAGGTGAGCCTTCTGCTTTCTGGACGAACCATGCTGCTCTTAACCTTAGGTGGCGTGTTCGCCAGCTTCCGTTGGGCATTGTGAGGAGGTTGCACGCCCCGACATTGTCTGTGTAAACGCGTGCTTCCTGTTGGCTTCCGCTCAGCTCAGCAAGGACAGACAAAACACTACCACCGAGCACCATGGCATCGATGCTGGCCCCAAGCTCTGCTTCAGCAGTAGACAAACTAGCAGTGGATTGCCGCAACGAGAGCCAACCAATGGGGGCGTTTCCCCATTGCATTACGATGCCTGTTTGGGATCTATCGCTGCCCGGACAGAAACTTGCATCTGCAAACAACTCAAGGAGATTTGGGGTTCGAGCGGCTGCAAGCACATCATCAACACCGTGTCCCTGGCCAGGCTCACCATAGATGATTTCGTAGCCCTGCGTGCCACGTAAGTACTTTATCATTTGGTGCCCGGCCTCGATGGACGCTTCGGTGTGTTTTGTCAACCTTTGGCCAAGCAGGGACACCCCGAAAGCAAGGTCAGGACGTGTCCGGCTGCTTACCCACAGCAACTCTCCTGCAAGCTTTTGGGCAACGCGCAAGCGACCCAGTTCTGGAGCAGGCTCGGCAAGGTCCGCACTAAGGTTTTCTCCATGTTGGGGTTCAGCAATGACGGGCACGGTGCTAGTACCAACGATGTGCGAGTACCGATTCAACAGCTCCTGAATGTACTTGGCTTGCGTGAGGTGGAGTCCCCTGGCAGTTTGCCTCACTTCAAGCCCACAAAACGTCAACGTGTCTTCATCGGAGTAGCTGGGCGCACTGATTCGCCACTCCTTTGACACTGCTGCGAACAAGGCTTGTACTAGCCGTTTGGGCCCGGTTGCTAGGAGGTCGTCAACATAGATACCTAGCACGGCTTGTATCTTAGCGTCCAACGAACCATCCTCGTTAACCCTGACTAGAAACCAAACATTGGGATCAGACTTAGCCCTACGCAACTTATACCGCTGCGCTGGGGATGTGGGCACATCCTGTGGTGGATGGATTGGCTCGGGCGTTGCGTCGCACACATGGCTTCTGGAGTCCCCTGCTGCGACATTGCTAAGCGGATCCTCGACCTCAAGCAGTGACAGGCGTTCGTCACGATGTTTGGCCCAGGCGGCCGGGCTTTCTTCTAACCCGTAGATGGCACCTTCTGCCTCCCACAGCTCATCATGGCAAACCAGACCACTACGAATGAGGATTGACGGGGGCCGAACTATGATTTTCTTACCTGGGGTCTCTAGGGGTGCTGTTAGGAATGCGGTGCGAATGTCACACGAACCTGCAACCCAGCGGTCGTGGACAGGAGTTTCCTCTGTCGCCTTCAAGCCGCAATGACGAAGTTGTGCTCGAAGCGTGAGGGCATCGAGGCCACCGGCATACAGCGACTGCCGATGCTCACGAGTTTTGCGGCCCTCTTGGTTGCAGAAGTTTCCGCACGCCACAATCCTACATTTTTTCTCCCTGTGCCCCCTTTCCTATGGAACAGCCCTTTACCTGGAATGTACTCAACCTTTACCCCATTGGCTTCCCATTCCTGGACTTCCGCTTTGGTACGGCGCTTGAGCGTACCATGCACATCAAAGATGGATCCGAGCTCATCCTGGATGGACGGCTTCCACGCATCAAGGTTCGCCAAAACTTCTTGGTGTGACACAGATTGTGTTTGCAGTGGTGCGCCAGCTTCAGTGACAGGATCCTCGATCGGCCACTCGGGCATTTCCAGTGAGGTACTGGCTGCATAGGCGTTACCGCCTTGTTCTTCTTTCAAGCCTCCCCGCTCATCACCCCTCGGCTGACTCCCCCCAACCAACGCATGCACCGACGGTGGTTGCTTCTTTTGTAACTGTTGTGCATCACGCAGCTTGCAACTCATCAACCGCTTCATTTCAGGGGTTAAGTCGGGCGCGCAAAGCTGTTGTTCGCACTGCATCTGCATCAAGTTGCATTCCATGCGTTGCGCGTGTTGATGGAGTTCGGCAATGTGGTCGGCTGTCCTCGCGCTCCCAGTCCGGTCAGCGTATTGTAACTCTTCGTCCAAAAACGCTGCTCCTCCAGAATAAGGCGACGTAGCAAGTAATGGTCCACATGATTGCTCTCCCAACCCGCGGTCTCAACCCAGTCCCCGGCCTCGCCATCTTCATCATGAGCATCGAGACGGTAGAAGCTGCAGGTGGACACTTTGGGGTCGGATTTCGGCACTGGAAAGCCCAAACTCACTAACAACTGTTGATCAACTTCAGTCAAACTTTCATGGCGATTAGCGGTGTATGCTGCGATCGCAATCCTCGGTCCCTCACTGGGTTCCACAGCGTGGAGGCGTTGGGGTCAAATGAAATGGGTTTGGAGCGGGGGTAAAAGTGTCCATGCACATCACAACCCTTGTGTTGCATCACACCGGCCTCTGACCCCTCCGAGCCTTCGTCACTCCCCTCAATCCACAATCTACCTCCCTTGCCTTCTTCTAAAACAACAAGGTGATTTTGTGAACCCTTAGCATTTCGGGCATCTTTATGGGGACTGCTAACACAATCAACAGACACACGCAATGCATTCCATGATTTGTCAGCATGACATGACCGCATGTACTGATTGATCACTCGCACAAGGGCGGGGCGATTGAGAGTATCCTTGGCTACCCCAACCTTGTCTGCATGGCGCCATGCTCCAAGCGTTACGGCGCCACTTCCCTTCTGAGCGACTTCCCGATCGATTTTACGGGTTTTGGGGCCAACATGTTGTATCGAGCCTCTTATCAAGACACCTAGCGCTTCCGCCGTGGGAGGTTCCCCCTTAGCCATCAGTTGCTCGGCTACGCGCTCGCTTTCGTGTCTAGACCATGTGCTCTTTTCCTGAATTAACCCCGTTTTCCCGCTGTCACCGCTCTCACTCTCACACTCTGTCTTCTGGTCTTGCAAACGACATGCGCTGCCACAAGCAAACACGTCACAAGACTGAGCACGCTCATGTTGAGACTGCAAACCGCACAAGTGTACATCACAAGAACTGTCACGGTCATGATGCGTGTGATTGCTGCTGTTGCCACTGATCTTGGGATTTGGCCTCAAAACGGTACCCTGGCAAACCCAGGTTTTCGGCTCCAAAAGTGGGGTTTGCTTGGGGTCCAAAAATGGGCTTTTTGAAGGGTTCAGACGGCTCCGTTTTGGGACATCGTGGCGCCGTTTTGTGAGCGGTTGACTCCCCCTCGGACTCAAGTCCGATGCTCAAGTTGGCCACTGACGTTTTGCCACAAATCCTTCTCCTCGGTTCTGGGGCTGGCTCTGGTGCCTCCTCAGCCTCAAACTCTGGTGGATCCCTAACACCGCGGTACACAAGTGGAGCAATGTACAGCTTAGGCTTACCCTTATGTTTGATGAGAACCACAGTGGCACCTGGGGTACGCTCAGACGGTCCTAAGGCGACTCCTTTCAGGGTTTTGGGTTCAAAAGGGTTTTTCTGGTTCCAATGCCTCGACCTCACTGTCACCTTGGTGCCAAAAGGAGGTTGTTCTCTAGCATGGACAGGGCTACCTAACTTTTCAAAGGCTTGGCGTCTTTTAGAGTCTGCCCAATGCAAGGCAGCTCGGGCCCACCACTCTTTCCCTATGCCCCCCTGACACAGCAAAGAACGCACTCCAGCTTTACAAGCACCAACTACTTGCTCAACTCTACCGTTCGATCTGGGGTCGCCTGGCACTGAGAACGTCAAACCTATGTCACGTGTTACACACCATGCTTCCACACCTTCATTTTGGAACTCACGGCCATTGTCCGCATGAATGCGTCTGACTTCCATGCCATGCATTTTAATGGCTGTGTGCATGCGCTGTAGCCCTTTCAACACAACTGCCGCTGATTTACGTGGCAATGGCTGCACATACACTACGGGCACGATTTTCACCGGCTTTTTGAGCTGGGCGATCGTGGCCTTCCATCTTTCATGTGATCTCTCACGGACACTAGGGTCCGGCTCTAGGGGATCACCATCCTCTTCGGCCTCACCTTCAGCTACGACACCGGCGTCATCGCAACGGTCATGGTCGTCATATCCGTTTTCCCACCAATCCCCTGGGGCATCAACACCTGCACCATCATCAGCGGCATCATCGACCCATTCAGGCGGTATGTGGTAGCCATCAAGACCGAAATCAAAATCAGAATCCCCCCTGGGCTCACCTGAGTCCACCTTTTCAAGGTATTGAGGGCGTCCATCTTCATACAAGGGCACTCCGAAGACACCTACCAGCAAGTGTTTAGCAGTACCACCTTCATGTTGGGACGGGCAGAGGGGTCCAATCATGTCAACGTTCAACGTGAGCGCATTTGTATGCTGGTGTTTGCGTCTAAAGTGTCCATGTCCACGCACGTGACCAGCGAGACATGCAGCACAGTCACGCCTAAACACCACATGGTCATGCTCACAGTGACGCGCAAACTGCTTGTCGGCAGCACTAAGGGCGTTTAAGGCTTGAATCCTCTCTCGATCTTCTGCCTCTTCCCTCCCCCTCTCCGGCGCGCTGTTCTCAAACCAAGCGTTCAAAGCAACACCCAACTCACGCACTAACCCTGGAGCCCAAGCTGCCCAACCTTTTGATTGTTGGATCTTTTCGTCCAGGCCCTCCGGCCGGAGTGTTTTCCCAATCCAACCCTCTCGCCCATGCAACTCTCTAAAGAGTGACCATGAGGACGTCAAAATAGTTGTCGGCTTAGTGCATCCATGTCGATTGGTTGAATGTCGCCTTGTGCAGGCTGAATACGCGCTGAAACTCAATGGTTTCGGGCCACGCCCACATGGATGGGTTCTCACACCCACTCTCACGGTACTCTCGGGGATCTCTTGGGTGCTCTCCTACAAACATCACATCCTGATCCCCTCCCCTTTCCTGCGCACCATCCCTAGCCACCTTGTACAGCAGGAACGTCCTAAAAATCAAAACGGTGTCCTCCTGGGCCAGTTTTCTGTTTTGGGGACTCAAGCCTTCTCTCCCAAATCTCCCAGGTCCATCCCGATCTCTCACAGGTACCGGGCCCCCGTCACTATCGCTCCTACGTGGACTAAAGGATCTGCATGGTGGTCCAGCCAGAATAGCCCTAACGCGTCCAGACATGCACAGCTGCAACAAGTACTGAAACAAGCAATCCTCAAGCATGTCCGCGCCGTGTTTGAGTTCAACATCAAGAACTTCTATCCCGTGTGGCAATCTACCCAATTTCCCTCCCGACGTGTCCCCAGAAAACAAGTTGAGCACAATACCCTTCGCTCTCTCAACTCTCCGGCGGATCCTACGGTTGAACGATTTCGGGTGATTTTCGGGATCGAGAACACACGGCGGAACTTTGGAAATGAGGGTCTCTGGGGCCTCCGGGCTCAACTGCCTCAACCAATCCAACCACGAACGAACATGCGGATCCAAGTCATCGGGGATTTTCTGTCCCAAGGCTAAAGCCTTCACATACAATGCTCGCATCATTCGCTCGGTTCTCAGGTTCTCGAGTTCTTTAATCAACATCAAACACGTGCTCTCATCAACATGTGGAGTGTTCTGCTGCATTTGGACTTTCAACCAACCGTGTTTAGGATGCCAAACTTTACACATGTCTTCTACCCATGTCACCTGGCAACCGCATTCCTTGACTAAGGCTCCTAGCGGCGCAATCGGACTGACAGGACTGACACTCAGCAAGACTCCCGTTGGCGACAAATACAGCTCAGCACTACCCAAAGCAAGGTTCACAACGGTTTTCTCCGACCTGCTGATTTCCTTTGCTGTGCCCTGTCGCAGCGCGTGCGTGGCACCTCCATCTAGCAAGCCTGTTTTGATCTTGGCCATGGCCGATGCCAACTGACCCAAAACACTTTCAGAAAACATGGGTGTGTCCAGTGACGGCTCAACTTGAAAGGCGGCTAGGCGAAGGCCTTTAAGCAACTGCGTGGCTTCATGCACCATATCGGTCTGTGCACCAGCAGGAACAGCAGCTTGAGGTGACACACTAGGAGTAGTTGAAGGTTGGTTCTCCATCGGCTGATTGCCGTGAGGTTTCCCCCCGGTTTCCCCCCGGTTTCCTTCGAATCATCCCTGCCCTTCTTGCCTTTTCCTTTTCCTTCCTTTCCTTTTCCTTGCTCACCGGACTCCCCCCAAGGAGCTTGCTCCTGGTTCTTCTCTTTTGGCCGTTTGCAATCGGCTGATGCGTGGTTCTTGGCCCCGCAAACAAAACACCACCCGTTGGCCTTCGCAGCTTCTTCATCATGCTGCAAGTTGCAATGGCGTCCTTTGCGGCAACCTTTGCCACCATCAAAAAACTTACACTTCCAGGAGTCCTTAGGGTCTGTTTGGGCCTGGTTTTGTGAGGCACCGGAGTTCCCCCCGTGGCTTTTCCCGCCCTTTTCAGAACCCTTGCTTGCCTTGTCCCCTTTTTCCGAGCCCTTGCCTCCTTTTGGGGCGTCCACGGCAGCAACCCTCGGTTTTCCCCCGCGTTGCTCCTCTTCCCCTGAAACAGAAAGCATTTCAAACTCACTCAGGAGGACTTTGACAAACTCTTTGAGGGAGACAAGCGTGGGGCGATGATCAAGCTGAAGGACGGTTCGGGCGCCACTACACCGAAAGCTAACTTGAACATGTTTCCTTAGGACAGGCTCGGACAACACATCAAGGCCACGCAACATGATGCTGGCATCTGGAATGCTAACACCCATGCTTTCAGCTCTGTTAAGTGCTCGCTGCCACTGTCTGAGACGGGCTACGGCGTCCGAAGAACCCTTAGCCCCTCCCGGGTTTGCGAGCAAGTCAAGAAGTTTCGTGCGTTCGGCCAAGCCGCCAGGCTGATACAGCCTCAAAACGTTGTAGATAGCACCTACGCAATGCAAAGTTCTTGACGACACAAGCTCTTCGGTGATTAGACTCGGGAGCGCGGCCTGAAGCATCGCGAACGCTCTGCTTTCTAATCGCTGGTACTTCTCCCCCCGCAAGTGCTCAGGCGGGGTGGGTACAATAGCCCCCCGTTCCATAGCTGAAGCCTCTGTCCACGTACGGTACCATCCCTTGGCAGCTTGCTCAACCTCATTCCACCATAGGGCTGACGACGGGGCCAAGTCTGCCATCGACGGCTTAATGAGTTCAAGCCAGTCCGAGGCCCTAGTGGCCGGGTCACTATCCGCATGCGTGGGCTGCAATGTTGGTAGATTCCACCACACTTTGTCGCCTGGGGAAAACAAACGAGCATCCTGGGAATTTTGAGTTTGTGGATGTTGGGACACCCCCGCGAAGAGGTTGAAACCATCTTCGGCATGCCGCTGCGGCGTAGCCGATTGAGAGACATGACTGCTCATATGCTGGTTGCTACTTCCCATGTTCCACTCATGTTGTGTTCGCGCTTGCAAGTGCGAACTGTAGCTGCCAAACATGTTGCTCTCTATCTCTCGGTTTCTACACTCAGAGTTTTCACCCAAAGTTTGCCCACTTCCACCTAACATCGGCGCTCCTAACATGTTGGTGTGTGACACATGCAAACTCGGACACGCTGGCACACTAGGCAAGACACTTAACCTCGAAAAACCTAGCTCCCCTGAACTAGTTCCAAACGTCGGGGTTGGTGACGGTGGCGGCGGTCCACTGGGCACTCGGGTTCCCCCTGGGGTGTGCCTACCATGATGAGCATCAGGATCCGGGGGCGGCGGCGGTGGCGGAGTAGAGACCCTAGAGAGAGAACCCTCAGCGGCCCATCCCCTGCTACGATCGCCCTCTTCGAGAAACCAATGCTGCTCACCACTCGCTGCAGACTGCATGGCCTCATCTTCCAAACGTTCTAGTCTAGCGCGCAGGGCAGAATTTTCAGCAGTTGTGGCCGCTTGTTGTGCTTGGAGTTGGCGGTTTTGCTCCATCAACTGCGCCGTCATGTCTTTCATCTGCGTCAGAATCATGCGCTCACCGGGTCGAAGGCCTGGCTCTTGCTCACACACCTCACCCGGACTAGCGAAGGTTTGCGGTGGCTGGCCATGCTCTTTTGCCTTGCGTGGTTTTGCTTGTGGTGCACCTGTGCCTGCGGTTGCTGGGAGGCTGCTGGGACCATACACAATGGGCTGTCCCACAGGCCCATGCATTTCGACCGGGCTTAACTGTGCACCTGATGAACTGGCACCTGCACTTTGGCCACACATTTCAGTCGGCTCTGTTAGATTTTCTTGCGCGACGCCATCCAAGTCTGCAGGACGCGCTCGTTGCAACGCAACTTCTGCTCTTGCCGTCTCTGACCAGAATGGATTTACGTCGGGAGGTTCTTGACTAATAGGGACAGTCGCTGAACCCGGTGCTGTATTCACTGCAACCACACCACGATCCTCTGACAGGAATTCGTCTTCATCCCCGGACTCAGGCACTGATTGCACAAGCTCTCGCTCCGTTCTCTCACCAGTTGAGCTGCCCTTGCGCTTTCGCATTTGGGCATCCATTGCAACTACTAAAGTCCTATAGGAGCCACTTGGGCTCATAACCTACGAAGTAGGCGCGGCGGTTTAGCCTAGGACGAAGAGAAGCAACAGCCTATCGGTCCCCGGGCTCCCAACAGGCAACTGGCTACACAGTAGGACCTTTTGTTCTCACGTTGGTCCATTGTGTCCTCAAAAGAGCCTAAATATTACGGGGATGTTGTGTTCAGCTTCGCAGCCCTAATTAACCTAAACCCCAAACCCAGTAGGCTTTGAAGCTTCGGGCTACGGTTTCTGCGGCAGTCGGCAGAGAACAAGGGTGTCACGAAATTCAGGCACAGACCCTTAATACTTTCTGGTTAGTAGTCGAGTGTGTTTTGAAAGTGTACTGACTACACAACAGGAATTCGCACGGGGCGATGCACCGATCTTTTGCTACGTGGCCATCTGGGATTGTTTGAGGAGTTCGTTTTTAACATTTCGCCACAAGAATCCGCGAAAGGTAGGGTGTTCTACCCCCTTGAACCCTTAACCCTGAGAACCCTAAACCCTAAACCCTAAACCCTAAACCCTAAACCCTAAACCCTAAACCCTAAACCCTAAACCCTAAACCCTAAACCCTAAACCCTAAACCCGAGCCCTGGCCTGAAGCCCAACGTAAGGGGCGGTGAAGAAGTGGGGACTGGCGGATGGCGGTGACAAGCTGAAGCAAACCCTGAGCCCGCTAGCATTGGGAGTTTTCCAGGAGAAAAGGATAGCCTGTGGGCTCCATTCGTCTTTTTAATAGGGTTTGGGGTTGAAGGTTTTCGGGTTTAGGGTTAGGTTTCAGGCTTTAGGGTGTAGGGTTTAGGGTTGGAGGTTGTAGGGATAAGGGACCTTTGGGGCTACTCAGGTATATAAAGGGACCACTGTAGCCGTTCCAGGGGTCGCTTAGAAAGGTTAGCAACAAGAGGTTCTCAACCCCAAACCCCAAACCCCAAACCCTAACCCCAAAACCCCAAACCCCAAACCCCAAACCCCAAACCCCTAACCCCAAACCCCAAACCCCAAACCCCAAACCCCAAACCCTAAACCCTATAAACCCTAAACCCGTCAGCACATGAACGGCGTGCAGGTTCTGCGAGTCTACTTCTACTTCCACCCAACGCAGGCGGGCGTTGCGGAGGCAGCAAACAACCGCAATCCTTATGAATCTTGGTGAGTTTAGGGTTTAGGGTTTAGGGTTTTTGGGTTCAGGTTTTGGGGTTTGGGGCGCAGGGTCTTGGTGGTCTCCTACGTGCTACCTAGGACCCGGAGTCGGCGCTTATTTTCCTTTGTTTAGGGTTGGGGGGTTCCCTTAGAATCCCCTTAGAACCAGAAAGGGTTTAGGGTTTAGGGTTTAGGGTTCAGGGCACACTGTTTCTTCCTAGCTTGCTCCTGGGTCTAGCGACTCAAGGCCACAAACCTTCAATTTTCACCCCGAGCTGCTTGCGAAGTGCGAAGTTTCTTGTTAGGGTTTAAGGCCTATGCTTCCATGTCAACCCCCCCCCCCCCCAACCATTGCACTTCTCCCTCATTTGGAACATGCTAGAACATGGGACATCTAGTGGGAACCACCGTAGGGGTGCATGGACGTGAGCAGCCTGATGGAAAACAGCCCTATCCTTACTTCGCCATTAGTTGCACTTTAAGCTTTGTGGGTTACCTTATTTCGTAGGAATATTAAAGTTTAACCTTTTTTCCGCTTGGTTATTGGAGAGGTAAGTATCTGGGCTTGGCTGCAGTGCGTGCTTATGTTGTAACAAGTCATCATGGATGCGCCCGCCACGCGCACATACTTCCACCCCGGCACCTGCAATGATGGCGATTCCATAAGACCATATTATGAGCATGAGCTTTTCTGCGGCGAAACGGGAAGCCGCCTAGCGAGGTGAAAGCTTTCGTGCATATGCGAACTTAGGTTTTAAGCATCTCGAGCTCTTCAGGTTACTAAACCCTGAACCCTGAGCCTATATGCTACGATGCACGCCTTCCCACGATTTTCACAGCGGAGCTTGCAAACAATCACCCACGAAAGGAAAAACTTGATCCTTGAACCTCTTACATGCTTCTACCTTATGATCTTCAAAAATCCCCCGTGAGAGCATCGGGGCCTGAACAACCCCCCCAGACCTTATAAACCCTAGACTTTAGACTCTGAACTTCGCCTTCTCAATGTCCAGCCATGTACCAGTGTAGCTCAATCCCAATTTGTGATTTTAACCCTAAACCCTAAACCCTAAACCCTAAACCCTAAACCCTAAACCATCATTAGTGCTTACTGGTTTAGAGGCTCCGGGTTTCGGCCGTGAACCTACAGCATCCAAGGAGTTTTCTCCGAGAGCCACGCCGGCTGCAAACATCCAGCTTGGGGGTTGGGGCAGCTTGGGTTTGGGTTTAGAGTTTGGGGTTTGGGGTTCGGGGGATTCTTGTGCATAAGGGTCCCTGTTTTGTGTGTCTGTTTTGGCACATTCCAGGATTTGATTGCGTTTGTTGAGCACCGATTGCCCGCCTGCAGTGCTTGGGGGTTTTGGGTTTAGGCTTTGTTTGTTGGGATTCCAGAGTTCTGTTGAGGAACGAAAGCACGACTTGGGCAAGCCGTGCAGATGTCTACCAAACAGCTGTGTACCATTCTCTAACCCCTCAGCCCTACACCCTATACCCTGCTTCAGCTCGAGGGCTTCTGGGGTTTAGGGAAGCTTGCGGGGCTTTTCGGCCACACTGGATATGGCAGCTCCCCTCAACAGACGCTTTCGGGCTTGAGGCTTTTAGGGTTTAGGATTTAGGGCCCTGTATGGTGTTCCCGGACCCTCCCAGTGGCCAGCACCATTTCCTTAAGGGGTTGCGTTTGCTTGTGAAGTTTTTTGGGCCTCCGCTCTCCAGAAGCTTCCTGAGCTCTTAACCTCTTGAAGTCCCGATGCAAAGCACAACCTATTTGCGGGGCAGCCTGCAAAAGAAATCTACGACACGCCCTGTGCACAATAGCACGATGCGGAACCCTAAACCCTAAACCCTAAACCCTAAACCCTAAACCTTAAACCCAAATAACCTTAAACCTCTGAAGCCAAAGGAGCCCATGAAACACCAGAAAGCCCTGCAAAGCCCCATGCCAAACCCCTCAGTGTCAATATCGGGCCCTGCACCCTGAACCGCTGAGCCCTCACACACAATGACTTGGGAGACCCGTGGTACCCTTCGCCCTTTTTTTGGGGTTTAGGGTTTAGGGTTTAGGGTTTCCCCTAAACAGTAGCCAACCAAAAAAAGGGGTGGCCTTGTTATGATGTGGTTACTGGGCTACTAAGATGAGGTAGCCCTAAGATCGCCCATTATCCCTAACAGGGGGGTTTAGGGTTTAGGGTTTAGGGTTTAGGGTTTAGGGTTTAGGGTTTAGGGTTTAGGGTGCCTTACAGGGATTCTGTGGGGACCCTACGCCCTAAACCCTGGCATTGGGACTCCGGAACCAGCAAACCCTGAACCCCAAACACCCCAAACCCTTAGAACCCCTAAAACCCCCTAAACGCCCTGAAGCCCTCTAAAACTCCTAAAGCCGCCTAGACGCCAGACCCCTAAAAGCCCCTAAAGTCCCCTACCTCCTAAGCCCCCCAAAAGGCCTCAAACCCCTACACATCCAAAGCCCCTACACCTCCTAAAGCCCCCAGAGAAAAAACACCTAAGAACCTAAACTAGACCCTAATCCCTAAACCCTAAACCCTAATCTCTAAACCCTAATCCCTAATCCCTAAACCCTAAACCCTAATCCCTAATCCCTAAACCCTAAACCCTAAACCCTAAACCTTAACCCTAAACCCTACAGGCACAACTTTGGCTCTGATGTGACGGAGCCCGCTGCCGCTTCGTGCTGCTTGCGCCTCCAGCTCATTCAGGCTTTAGGACTTAGGACTTAGGGCTTAGGGTTTAGGGTTTAAGGTTTAGGGTTTAGGGTTTGGGGTTTAGGGTTTAGGACTTTGAGGGTTTCAGGGTATTACAGGGTTCTGCAGATGTTATACGTGTGCGTTTTCTGTAGGAATTCTTGTGATCCCATGATGGGTACATGACGGCTACATGACGGTTTGACGATGCTTGTCTTCGGAGGGGTAGAGTTGCAGTGTTCTATGGGATTTGCAGGCATGTGGAGTTTAGATTTTTGGTTTTTAAAACGATTCTCCCCCCTTCCCGCCAGTCCTGGCAGACATGGAATTCGGTGGCCATCGTAGCATCTTGTAACTACTTCTGTAACGTTCTGTATGACGTCCATTGCCTCGACATAAAACCCATAGAATCGTGTAATCCGATCATGCAAGGATTTTGAGGGGGCAATAATACAAGCATTCAGAAACTCCAGCATAGCTGTATGTGGTTCTATGAAAACCTTTGGAAATTGCAAGTCACCCTTGTGGTGTTCTGTTTAGGATATATGAGGACTTTTGTGGTGGCTACTTGATCACAAGTATCTAATCGTTCGACTTGGGTTCGGGTCTAGGGTTTCGGCTTCAGGGCTAGGGTTTGGGGAGGCTAGTATGCATGGTAGCTTGGTATTGGGGATTTGCTTGAGGTTAGGCACAATTGAAGGATCATAGGCTTCAACACCTCAACTACTAAACCCCAACCTCAAACCTAAACCCTAAAATCCAAAACCCTGAGCCCAGGCGGGTCAGCGAGATCCTGTACCCGATCCACAAGGCCGCAATGACCGGAAACGCGCCTTGTACCGCCATAGCAGTCGAGTGGGGTTTAGGGTTTATGGTTTTGGGGTAACCTTGCTTTAACACTTAAGGGCTCTAGGGCTTTGGGCCGCTGGACAGTCAGGAGAGCCATCGGCTCTTTCAGCGCAAAAGGGATGTGGGGATTGCCCTTGCGGTGCAAAGGGTTCAGAGCTGAGCAGTTGGCTTATGAGATCCCCCGGGTACTCACGACATGAAAAGTCGCCCAGCTCCTTCACAACTGCCTGAACCCTAAACCCTAAACCCTAAACCCTAAACCCTAAACCCTAAACCCTAAACCCTAAG